TAAGAAAATAATCTAGTAGAGGATACAATTAGATGGAATTTATTATTATCATTTCTAAGTACGCATGACCTTGTACGTTTGTTAGTCTCTATTCAAGGTTCGCTGGAATAAAATCCAGATTTGGGTTAAGCTCGCACATAACATTTCCTTGTTACTTAATTCTACGTTAATTATAGTGTACTATAATAAAAAATTACTGCAAAATTAATGAAACTTTCCTATTAATTATTATAACAGTTTACTGTCTACATCATTATCCTCATATTCTTGTGTATAAATGTGCGCCATCGCAAGGACATCCTTATTAACCAATAAAAAATGAAGGAAATTCAATGCAATGTTATTTATAGCGATTTAAGTGGCATCGATCGATAACAACGTGGGAATCGTACACACATGGGCCATTCAACGTGTATCAGACACGCACTGATTAATAAGGGATCAATTTAGATTGTGACACAGATCTGAGATACAGTGTAAATAATATTTGATCTGGTTTAGTTTGACACCTGCATTGGCGTTTTTTGGGACATTAAGCTGTGTGGTCGCACTTGGCACTATTATTTTGGCGGCATTAGAATCAGTTATAGTTATGGATGTAACACATTTGTAGCTTTTGCTGCTCGCGCAAATGTTATTTGTGTATCCTTCGGAAACAGTTCTCTTACTAGATGATGGGTATTTAATGATTGACTAAACTTACAATTCTTTTTTTGTCGTTAAACTTCTATTATGACGCTAATTAATTCAATAAATAATTTGTTTGCAAACTTGCAAACGTGAAATGAAAGAAACTATATTTGCAATTTACTGGATCTAAATGCCAGTCCTAAGTTTTGCAAGCATAAACAGTTCAAAATGCAAAATGAATAACATTTGTAATTAAGAATGTCTAAATGAAAAGAATAATCATAAAATACAATTATTTATAGCATAAACATTATCAATACTTCTGAGCCATTTAAATACCAGGCCAGATGGAATTTTAGAATTATTTAACATAGGTTTAAATAAATAAAACATAATAATACGATACTACAACAGAATATTACTGTGATATCCCTTACATACAGATCATGGATTTGTGTATTCATAAATAGTCACTACCTTAAGCGTCTCATGTCAAATTTACATAACTAGTTCATGATTGACATGATAGGGGACACCAATGGTGTCACACCATCTGTATATGGGTACATATTTAACTTAATGACACCATACTGTAATTTACTCAAATGAAAACAAATAAGTTGATTATACAGACAGAACGTTGCGAACACATCACATCAATAGCCTTTAATAGCTGCTGGACATATGCTGCTCCTTAGAAAGGAGGTTTTGGCCTACTACGAGTATACCACGCTGGCCAGACGGATTGGTATAGAGTTTGTGTCAAGTTATCCTTCTCTCTGCAGTACTGTTATCCTGCGTAGTTTGCTCCCTTAGTCGGCTCTTACGACACCCACGGGATGAATAGGGATTGTGACACTCTGTATTCTTAATCCGTCACCACACATGGACACGAACACGCTATGCTATTTGCGTTATTAGAAGCCTTTGCGCCGTTATTAGATTTGCATGTACTATCTAGGGACCCTTAAAATAAGTCGGTTTTCGATATATATTTATTTATTTACACATTCTGCACATCTCTACCAGACCACCATTGAATGGTGTAGAGAAAACAGGTGTTTCGTTCATCTTAAACACCCGTGAATATGATTGTATATCGTTTTTCCTTTTTTTTAATTCGTCCAGTCCGTTATTAATAAATACCATAACCACCAAATAATAATAATTCATAAATTAATCCACATTGAAATAAAAAATGTAATCAATCAAACTTTTTTTTTTTGTAATCTGATATTTTAACAACGCCGAACGTTTACAGCCTGTATATGTCTTACGGTGTCTACGGTGTAACGGTTACGGCCTAAGTAACGGTTTGATAATATTTCGTTCATATATTTACTAAACCAATTTTAGTTCGAACACCTATTTTCTCTACACAGTCTACACCATACAATGGTGGTAGAGATGTGCAGAAAGTGTAAATAAGTTATTAAGAAGTCGATCCAACGTATCGAGAAAGGTCTGCATCACTGAATAGGAAGATTAATGGTTTCCTCTGAAGACATTCATCTTTCAAGTCTTGATTTGCACAGAAAGAAAATAAATATCAAGCAATATCATGCCCCCCGACAGTTTCAGTCCAGTGCCAAATTTGTCATTAGTATCTCGTATTACGAATAAGTAAATATGCTACATAGTATCTTCTGTTTATCATGCTTATGTTATGATGTCATACGAATCTTAAAATGATGAACAAACATAACATTGCCAGAGCTTGTACACTTGTGATAAATTAATTTTCGAGTAGTACGAAGTCTCGAGGTGACTTAAAGTTACTTATCTATCAATATGTATCGATTTCGATTCGATATTTCGTGCATCCTTAGTTTCATCTCACTAAGGGTAAAATCGATAAACAGTACCATATGACACTCGACCTTACAAGGAAGGTCCAAATGTAAAGAATTAAAACACATTTTAAACTTTATTATCGACCTAAAATTTAAACGGTAACAAGTCTCACATATTTGTGAAGTATCGAATTAAAATGTAACGCCAAACAACCTTAGCCAACATTGGGCAGATAAGTGGACAAACAAAATTCAAGGGTCGTGTGTGTGTAGTCGAGGTGTTGTTGACAAAAGATAATAAAAAGTGAAAAATAATGTTTCACACTCGAGTTGGTCGGGTGTGAAAGTGTTACAATTCATCTTAACTGAAACTATTTGGTTGACATGCTTTGTAGGCGCCCAGTTTTTCACTAATGTTTTTATCATAGATATCCTAACTAACTTAGATTTTTACGATAAAATGATTTTTCTTTTTGAACTTATGAAAAATTATTACCTATCCACTTTTTAGTTCGGCTAGTTACAAAAACGTGTTCTTCCGTTTTTATATTAACTATAATTTATTTAAGGTATATTTCTAATAGAAGGCTGCCATTTTTTAAATATAAGAAATACTTTATAGTTTAAATAAATAGCTTTATTTGTGTAACTTCTAATTTTTTTGCTGACCATACTTTTTCAAGACATACATTGTTTTTTTTTTATTAGTGGTCCCAATATACTAAAAAACAAAGAAAGTACATAAAATAAACAAATGTTGATAGTTCAGAATATGGAATACGCTCCTCAGTGAAGTATAAATTAGAGTTATCGGGAGTTCACAGCATAGAAGTCGTACTGTTTTAAGACAGTAAAAGACACTGTAGTTTTAGGGCAATATTACTTAATACTAGATACGTAAATGTGTTTCTAATATAAAGACAGTCTTAGATAAACAAAGAAAGTGACATAACCGATAAATTTTGCCTCTTAAGACGTCACGACATTTTCTTATGTAGATAATTATAATAGCACCTATTAACAAGTCACATTTACTTCATTTAGTGTAACTAAATCAGAAATTAATAGGCTAAAGATACCTAGATATGTTTATTATTAATTACATTCTTAACTCATGTAATCCTGTGCATACGACTTGTTCTGTCGTGCATACTAACGATGAGCACATGTATTTTTTTTTATATGCACAATGTTCAAGCGAATCCTAGGTTTTTATAAATATTATTCATTCTTATTTGGAATTTTAAGTATAAAACATATCGATCCTCACACTAGCCACTAATAAATCACAAATCCTATTATAAATCACAAGAACACCGCTATCGGGTGAGTGTTAACTTAAAACTGTCGGCAGAATGCTACCGTGATACAGCCCCGCTGGTGTAAATAATTTATGTTTATTCTAAGAGAAATAAGAATGACTTTTTATAATATTGTGTTTTTTAGGGAACTAATAAATTTTATTTGTAATGAATCAGCATTGTTAAATGATTCATTCACTGTTCGATTTTAATCTCCAATGAAACGTTAAATTAGATTCCACATCATTATTTGACATCGCCGTATTCCAAGTACTGTATACAATATTGTTTAACAGACCGTGATCTTATGAGATGAATAATTTGTATTGTTCATGAAACCCGACTGTTACCATAGCGAAAGCGTATTGATAATATCAAGTTAGTTGTATGATACCATACAAATCTTAATAAGGTTTGTTTTAATACAAAATAAGAAATACAAAATTCTCATAATATTCTCGGACATAACCGCGAACCATCGCCACGTAAGATGTAAAACACGAAATTGATTGTGCTAAATGTTTACAACCTAGTTGAAATCAATAAGTACTCAGCAGTTTACACGTATTTATTTTAAGGCATTGTCGGTGGAACTAATCATAAAGCTAAAGAATTGTTATTCAAAGCACCCAGTTTTAAAACCACAGAACAATAAAATAAACTAGAAAAATATCAAAGTAGGTCACAATCCGAATCTTAGGGATCTTTATTAGACTTGCAACGAATATTCGGTTACTATTCGGTATTCGGCCTATTCGGCTGTTTTTATTATATTCGGCCGAATACCGAATATCTACATATTATTCGGCCGAATACCGAATACTTAAATAATATATTTTGTCATTGAGAAATAATTGGTAAAATGAAAAATTAAAATCGATTGATTACGTATATATTCATATTTTCATTTCTGTTATAATCATTTAAGTAGTCATTGGTGCATAACACAGGTACATAATCATCTTCTGAATAGGAAAAATGGAGGATTCTATGTATTTGAATTATTGTGGTAATCAAAATTTAGAAGGGTAAGGTTCTCATTTCTTTTATAATCATTTATTAAGTAGTCATTGGTACATAAAACAGGTACATAATTTAATTCACGTCTGTACAAGTTTTTGGCGCTAAAATCCAGCCGAATACTTTTGCCTAATATTCGGCTATTCGGTCAGGGGCCTCGCCGAATATTCGGTATTCGGTATACTGCCGAATATACTATTCGTTGCAAGTCTAATCTTTATGTTTCAAAACAGAAATGTATTTAAGAATGACTTACCGTTAACGAAGGCACACCGAGTCCGACGATGTATAACATAACATTAGTGACGGTGGAGTCTTTGTATGGATGTTTTAGTGACTCGTCATCACAGAAGAAACCTCGTTTGTACGGTGTGCCCCATAAGTAGAAGACCAGGATCAGGATACCGACTGTAACAAAGAGAAAAGACTTTTAGTGACATCACTTATATATTATAGTGACTTTAGTGGACCACTTAACCAGTATTATAAAGATTAATTCTTGTTTAAGTCCCAAAAGACAGGACAAAGTGAGTCATAAAAACAAAATATTGAGAGGGGGAGGGAATGAGGGGGGGGGGGGGGTTGGTTGGAAACCAAAACCACTTTATCGCTGGTCACACGCTTTAATTATTACGCTAACCTCTTCAATTTAAAGTCAGCATTAGTCTGTAGTAAATAAAAGGTATTTGTTATAACAATAGTTATTGTTAAAGAGGAAAAGACCATTATTATGTATGTAACGCTTAGCTCAACTGAAATATCCGTACCATTTCGCATTATAATTTGACTCCAGAACTTAAGTTAATAATACATTTTACTATAGATATAATAATCATAAGTAAGTTTATAATTAAGTTATAAATTAATCATTTGTGCTTTATAATTTTATACAATTATGTTATTTGTGTACGGCAATAACGGCAACTATCAAACGCAATAAATTCTAAATAATTAGATAAAGTCACGCGTCGCAACAAAATCTGCCAAGTTTCACAAACAGTCTAAGTGAGGATTATGTTTATTTATAGATTCTCGATCAACTTAGATTAATGCCGCAGACAAGGAGACCGTTGATTAATGAGTTTATTTATAAGACAAGTCGAACAAGGCGAAAACTTATTAGCTTACTTGTTGGAATTTATTGTATAAAGTTTGTACGGGTAAATTACTGTAGGTAAACCTCAACTAGATATAAATGAAATAATAACAGATTATTAGAATAATAGTTTATATGTTTAAGTGTAAGATTAAATTCAAAATAAAATCTTTATATATATAATTCTTCTGTGAGTGTGTATGTCACTGAACTTCTCTCAAACGACTGGACCGATTTTGATGAAATTTTTTGTGTGTGTTCAAGGGGATCTGGGAATGGTTTAGATTCACAATTTTGAATGGTAAGGGTGACCCATCCCTATTTTTTTTTTTTGTTGCAATACAACGTTTGCCGGATCAGCTAGTATTAGTATATTTCGTTTATGCTTGTACATTTACTAAGGATAGCATTATTATATCGTATGTCAGTGAAACATTTGTTATCATAGTTGGTCTACCTATCTTTATACATCTAGATACTAGGGATAAAATAGCTGTAAAGGGCACAAGTGCATTTTCAGTTAGTATCAGAGGAGCATAGAGATAGATTTGAATATCTTAAGATGAGTAAAATATTCAAAAACCTACCTAAACCTAGAGGTGAAGTCAGTAGTGCAATGGCTAGGGTTTGAATCTTTTTTTTTTCCGTGCGGAAATCCCCTCGGATACCACCTGTCGGTGGCATGTCGGACTCGAACCGACTAAAACCGCTCGCCGTCTCGGGTACTAATAGCCGGGGAACCAGGTATACCCTAGAAAGGAAGTCCCTGGTGCCACTAGGGTTTGAACCTGCAACCACTTGGTCAATAATACGCCGTTAGCTTAGTTTTGAACATTATACTTAGTATTTAGGCGTATGACACTATTATACACGACTATAAACCATTAACATTCACGAAATTGCATTAAGCAATTGATTTATAAATATATATTTGATAATATAATCTGTTAGCAAATCAAGTGTTAAGAATGCTGAGAATTAACCTTAACCTAAATTCGGCATGGGTGGTCAAAATTTAAATACGTAAGAATTTCCTATTAGTAATAATCACAAATCTTTTTTAATCCCCCGTCTTGTCACTGTCCTTGTAGTAAACTGTAAAAACAGACGAAACAAGAGCAAGTCGGCACAAACTGTTCACAGCAATGAAACATTAAAATAACCCTCTCCTATTTAATTCCAGAAAAAAATATTTTCATCTAGCAACACATAATAAATCACAGAGAATGTATTCAAGCAATAAATCTGGACAGGCAATTAACGTGCTCGAATGTTATAAAAAAAGATCAAAATTGACTCAAGTCGTCAGAGCAGGAATTTAAATTGGTCGAAAGTGAGCCCATTGGCAGTATTAACTATTGTTTCACGCATTGTTCCCCGTCTAAACATTTGTTTGGATTGAGAAAAAACAGCAGGTAGCCACAAAATGGGGTGGTCATGGAGATATATGTATTTGTGGAAACGTCAAGTTGATATCAATATAACAGTTCCAAGATTGAGCTAATGATGTAAATACGGGTTTCATTCCATTTTTATTCATGGTTCCGAGTATAACAGGTGTCAATTTGAAGTTCGATCGCCAAGGTTCCCCTAGATTTTTGCTTTTAGCTATCAAACTTTTTTGTGATCTGCCGTTTATTTTTTTTCGAACTTATATAAAAGGCATTTTACAAAACACACAAAAGATAAAATATTGTTTGTTTTTTTTAGTCAAATATGATGGCTCCTTTCTGTAGAAACACAATTCGAATTAGTTATCATTATTACGCTTGCGACACATTTTTAGCCGACACAATTATATTGTCATTTCCAGCTTCTTAAAAAATTCAAAAGAATTTTATACCACTAACGTTCGGCAGTAATATCCATTACTGTGAATGGATAAAGGTAAAATTCTGATGCTGTTATAATAAATACTCAGTTCAAAATAGGTCTAGGGTCTTCCATAATAAAAAAGTATTGTACCTTGTTTTGATGTCAATTTTTTATGTTTAAATTTTGAATATTTTTTGGTCCCATGCAAACGTGCAGCTGGTGCACCTGTTGGTTAGTCTACTCTACTCAAGAGTTTTCTCAAGGGTGTGATGGTAGTGTAGGTCCGGAATTCCCGCGAAAAATTGAAACCAGCAAAAAATGAAAACCTTGAATGAACACTAGATCTACTACTGGTTAGTTTGGTTTCGGCTTAAATATCAATTAAAAGGATATAAGAAACTGCTTGTTTGTCCAATGCCAAATAGAGTCAGGGTAGACTAAACTTCGAATCGCATACAATCACTATAATCGTGGCAAATAAAGCTCTTCTAGTGAGATTATACAATACTAAAAGGCCAAAGGACTCGCTTTGTTTTTGCTCTGGTTAAAAATAACAAACAAGTGTTTTATGGCTGCCCCATTATCGTGTTACGGCCGCTTCTATAAACAATGTGAGCGGAGTGAACAAGTATTGCAACAGCTGTTGTACTATAATGTTATTAGCGTTGGATTTTTATTAATTAGTTTAGAATTTCTCATCAAACCCCGGTAGACGATATTGGGAACATATTTCGGGCAGAGGCAATCAATAAAGAAGCGATGTTTTGATGAGTATGAAATTATAAGAAACAAGAGCTAGCACAAGCAGAATTTGTTAACTCTTAAATTGTTTAAATGATGTCGTCTAGAAAATTTAGGAAAGTTTTTACAGTAATGGCGGGCCGTTTTGTCTAGTGGTTAGCTATCTTGTCTGCTGATTCAAAAGTCGTGCCTGTTCTAAATATACACCTGCACCAGAGTGCCCGGCCTGGGTTGAGCAGAGGCGAGACTTCGTGGCGGCCATCGGAGTGGGAGTTGTCTCGCTCGATAGCCTGATTACGGCTATCGTGCGGAACGAGAGTGCGTAGAACTCTGCCGTCTCCTTCTGCGCGCGAAGGAGACGGCGGAGCGGGACCGGGAGAAGTTTAGAACTGCGCCTGCGGTACCAGGCCCGGGAACGGGCCAGGTACCGCAGGCGACTCAGGCGCCGGAGGTAGCAGAACGACCTCCGTCCTCCATAAGCGCAGGCCTGGGGGTGGTCATCTGGTGAGGTCATCTGTCACTCTAGCAGAAGCAGGCCTGGGTGGGGGCGAGCGCGTTGCGAAGCGCGCTCGCTTCCAGGGAGCAGAGGGAACATGGTTCCCACACGGGGGGGTCGTCTACTCGTCTGTAGATGGCCCGAGGTATGTCGGGGCACCAGGGACTTCCTGTCTAGGGTATACCTGGTTCCCCGGCTATTAGTACCCGAGACGGCGTGCGGTTTTAGTCGGTTCGAGTCCGACATGCCACCGGTGGTATCCGAGGGGATTTCCTCACGGAAAAAAATAAAATAAAAAAGGGTATTCTGATACAGTCAAATTTAAGAGGTTAAAACTTTTTGCTGCCTAAATCTTGTTGATAGAGATATATAAAAACGTTTTTCTATCATTACGTCATTTACTCCTAACATATTCTCGAATTATGTAAAGTTACAGACGTGTTGCAACCTTGCCGCTGTGGGAACAATTACTATGTAAATAATAATTAATCCTCACTCAAGTATTCAGGATCTAACGGTAACGAGACAAGTTGTAAATGTAGGAAATTAACTTAACAGTATTCAATTGAAATGAAAATAATAACCTCAAATATCTTACACACGGACGTCTGATCCCATACTAGGCAGAGCCTGTGCTATGGTAACCAGACTGCTGATAAACATACTTCTCTCGTCTAAATACATACATATTATAGATAAATTACACTCAGACACAGAACAAATGATCGTGCTCATCACACAATATTTGTCCTGGGTGGGATTCGAACCCACGACCTCCGGCTTAGCAGTCAGGGTCACTAACCACTAGACCAATATAAACCAAGACATCCTTAAAAAATAGCTTACGTTTGTGACTTCTCTTTTTTATGGTATAAGGGGGCAAACGAGCAGACGGGTCACCTGATGGTAAGCAACTACCGCCACCCATGGACACCTGCAACTCAAAAGTCACAAGTGCGTTGCCGCCCTTGGAGTCTCTCCCGCAATACTTAATATAATATAACAATACTTAAATAAAATGTACAAGAACTAGTTATTTCTTTTTCAGGCTCTATAATGCAGTTTTTATTCAATTCCTCGAATTCTCAAATAAAATATACCTATTTATGGTCTATATAGACATTATAACTTGGTCACCGTTAAACTTAATAGTAAGTACTTTATGTTTGTATGATCTGAGACTTTAATACTATTCTTTTTAATTACGCCTAACACATTTATATAGAAACAGGAAAATAAATACTAAGGGTACTTAGTTTT